CAGGGTCTTCGGGCTCAGTCCATCAGCATTACCATGGGATTTTCCTTCTCTCTATACTCAATATTATAGTTATACTGGTCTATTTTTGCGATCCAACATGCTAGTTGTCCCTCTGGGTTCCTTAATGATCTTAACCAGCATAATGCAGCATGGTCTGTCCTAATGGTAAACCTTGCACCATAGAGGTAAGGGTGGAAATATGTCAGACTCTTTACTATAGCAAGGTGTTCCCTCCATGTTACACAGTAGTTCCTCTCTGGTCTACTCAAAAAAAAGTAAAAGTGCATGGACCAAACAGGAATTTTCTGCCATCTGAATAAGGTCCCAAGCTGATAAGCTGGGTATTGGGTTACCACAACTAAGGACAGCAGGTGCTAGTTGAGTGTAAGGGCAGGAATCATATCTCACTGTTTGTTGTTTTTTTTTTTCATTAGAAGTAGCAGTACAGCTTGGAAGGTAAAATATATAAGTTGTGAAAGCAAAGTGGGTATTAAAAAAAGTAGCATATGGGCTTAACACTTTCTGTTATCCCCTATTCAATGTTGATTTTTGGGTGAGAGGTGCAATCCCTGTGGGACAGCACTGGCCATGTAGGGGATTTCATTGTTTCGAAATATATGTTTTTATTATGTAATTTGCAAACAAAAAGCAATTACAATAAACAAATCACCTCTTCAGAGCCTGTGGGAAGATTGAAGAATGATGACAGGAGGAAGGTGAAACCCAAAGGAAGAAGCAGCTATAAAACATTGTAAATAATGTGACACAAAAGTGTCGAAGATCATACACATGCTAGCCTACAATATCACATCAGGACTGACGAGAACCAGTGAGATGACAAACTTTATGGGAGGTGACATAAAAAAGATTTAAGGAGATACCTTCTTTAGAGGAACAGGTAAGGCAGATGAGTTGCTTAACCCAAGCATGAAATAAAGAAGATAAATAATGAGAAAAAAGATGAATCCCACAACAACAACAAAAGAAGAAAAAAAGAAACTATGTTGATTGTCTTGAAAAAGTGTAATGCAAACAAGATAACAGCAGACTCTCCTAGCAGCAAAAAAGAACTGATCATGATCTGAATGATCATATGGAGAAGAAAGGAAATGGTGGGTAATAGGAAAAATCATCCAATTACATCACAGTGAAAGATAGACATTTGAGGCTGATATATAAAAAAGGGCCTCCAAGATGGAGAAATAACAGACCCCCAACATTGGAAATGAGGTGAAACTGGCAAGGGGTACAATGAATTAAAGCCAGCACCCTGTGAAGAAGAACAGTGGACCAATCCAAACTCAGAAAGAATACTCACCAAGCTTGATGTAGAGGGAAGTCGCATATGCGTCAACAAGAGTACTCCTAATTTGGGAACAAATCTACAGATACTCCAGCACCAGTAGATGTAAAGACTAATCTGTCTGAAGGATCTGATCTGGGTGAGACAGCTGATCTGCCACTCTTCCCAATTTCAAAGTTTCCAGAACAATGAAGGCAAACAAACAGCCATTATTGTCATTAGCTCAAAAATTAAGCTAAAAAACATGAAACAGAGGTCACTTGCTTGAGTACATCCCTATTGGTTGATATAAGAAATGAACAGCACTAAAGAGGAGGTTAGAGAGGCATTCATAAACAGGTGTTAGTCAGAGACAGAGTGGAGGAAGATGGATACTCAGAGTTGTGTGGAAACATTTTAGCCACCACAAAAGTGAGAGGGAAAGAGATGCAATTAATGAAACATGAGAACATAGAAGATAACAGGGTATATTCCACTGATCTGCCCGAACCCATTAAAAGGGGGCACAAAAGAAGCAAGAGACTTTAAGAGAGACAAAAGTTCATGTATAGGATGAAAATAAAAAATGAGAGTCATGGAAACCAGCAGTTCCATACCTTGGAAATATAAAGGACAAGGTTAAGCACACCCAACAAATGAGATGATAACCCCTTTAATGAAAAATGCAAGCACACACATACACTCATGAAAAATACTCTTTAACCAACTGTGAAAAGCACTGATGCTTTGCACCAATCTAGTTTCTATGAAGTGATGCATAGCAATTTTTTGTGTAATTTCAAATTTACTATATATATCAACAACTATGTTGTACACACACAAAAAAATCAGAATTTTTAATAAAGT